TAATAATAATAATAATAATAAAATTCCCATTACCTTTATTTTGTTATTATTATTATTAATTATTATGAATTACAAAAAATTGTTAAAGAATAAAGGAAATGTAGAAGAGGGAGAAATGAAAGGTCAGGGAGAAATAAAAGCGGTAATATATATCCTTATTCATTTTCAAAATGATAACCATGACACTTTTATGAAGAACTGAATTGGTCGATAGAATTGCGTAATAGCCGTTAAGCGGTAATATCACTTTGAAGTTTTATAGTTAAAAAAGGAAAAGGTTTAGTTGAGGAAAGGAAGAGAGAGAGAGAGAAATGATAATGCAACAATGTGTGGTTGACCTTCACCGATAACCCTTTCTATAATATTTGTAAAACCATTCTCACTTTGTTTATTTACCCTTTTTTTTTAATTCATTCGCTCTTCTATTTCTTCCCGAATTTTCTTGAAAAAGTTTGATTGAGTAATTGTGTCATAGTTCATTTGTTTAAGAAAGTGATAATCATATCAATTCAACTTTATCAATTTATTTACTTTCTTTTGTAATTTTATCTCCATACATATATACATACACTTTCTTCCTGACAGATTACGGTATTTTTTAAAAGTTGTATACTGTAATAATATGATGCCGAAAAATTTGATATACCATGAAAGGAGCAAGATAATATTTAATATATAGTAGTTGGTTTTTTATTTTTCCTCAATTCCTTGTCTGTCTTATATTTTTATATTTTCTTAAACTTTTCTTTCATTGTTATCCTTATTTTTCGTTACATATTTTTTTTATTACCTAATTATTTGTTAATTTATTTGTTTACTAAAATTACAGTCACATTGGATTTCCATATTTTAATATGGAATTAATTATTGAAGAAATGAAAAGTATGTTTGTGCGAATTTTCATTCTGCAAACAATTCATATAAGCGTGTAAGTAAATAAGTAAACAAATAATTGGGAAAAAAATAAATAAACAAATAGTGGTATCGAAATGTTGGAGTTAATAAGATGAATGATAATCGCTTTCATTTTTAAAAATTTTCAATGAAATCCGAAACAGTAGTAGGAATTTTAAAATTTTCTGTTTGAAATTTCAATTATAGCCGTTTAAGATTAACAGTGATACTGATATCACATTCATTTTCTTCATCCTAATTATCTGTTTTAATTAATAACTCGCCAATTTTTGGTTTTATTTAAATTTGAATTCCTAAAAGTGTCACTTCATATCATTGCTATCATTATTAATTAGTAATAAATAATAATATATTTCTTTTTAACCATTTTCTTGTCTCTTTTTATATATTCATTTTTCTTGTCTTTAACTTTCTTTCTTGTTTTTTTTTTTTTTAAGCTTAACTTTGGCAGAAGGTTTGTAAACAATAGGCATTCTGCAAAATTATACCATACCAAGTAATCTCACATTCTATTACTTAAGTGTATTACGGATACCGTAATCTTTAGCTCAATTTGTTGTAAAAAGAAAAAATCAAATATACTTAAGTAATAAAATATGTAATAATAATAGAATGCAAAATATCAAATTATTCATTGTCATAAATTTATTCACGTTTTACCTTTTTTTTCTTCACGTATTATACTTATCCAAAAGTTAATAATGCTAATTTATTGATTGATTTAATCAGTATTTTCAACTACCAAAAAAAAAAAACGTATTATACAATAAGCGATAATAATAGTAATATTAGTAGAATAAAACTATTATTAATGTATTTTAATATAATTTATTTTTATACTTTTAGTTGTTTGTTTATCATTAAAATGTGAAATTTTCAATATTAAATTAATAATTATTTATTACAAAATTTTTTGAATATTTTTCAATGTGTAATATTTGTAAAATATTCTATGCCTGAATAGAATAATTGAAAAAATGTAATGAATTTAAATTCTAACAAATATTCGTAATTGTTTCATTATAATTAAGTATTACTTTCTCTCTCTCTCTCTCTCTCTCTTTCTCTCTCTCTTTCTCTCTCTATTCAATTTCATATAATTTGACAATTAAAGTTTAGCCAAAATTATTTTCGATATTTTCAAAAATGTCATCTTTTTCTCTCTCTCCTTTTTCTCTCTCTCTCTCTCCTTTTCCTTTCTTTTTATAGTAACAAGAAAAAAAATATTTACATCAGCGTTTATATCAGTTAAATAAAATTGAGTTTTATTTTCCGTATAACATCCAAAATGGAATCATATCAAATTGTTTTATTTTAAAGATAACACCGAAATTATGTCTAAAACTGTACTGGAGCAAGTAAATTTATTCCAGAAATAATACTAAAATTATATATAAAACAGAAATAATTAATTCAAATAAATTCTTTTATATTTTTAATTTTTATCATTCATTCAAATTTAGTACAAGAAGAAAAAGGCAAAAAAAAACAAACAAATAACCAAAAGATGAATGACAATAAATTTTATATTTGTATGGCAGTTATTGCCAAAATTTGAATACTACTTTTTTTTTTTTAAAAAAAAAGATAAGGTAACGATGGATTGCCCTTTTTCATATTATGATGATGACCTATCTTTCTCAGCTGATTGAATTCAATTCAATTATATCTCTCCCTCTCTTTTTTTTTTCTCTTTTATTTCCTTTTCAATCGATAATTATTCAAATTTAATGAGCCAATCATTAACAATACCATTTTTCCTACAACAACGATTATAATATCGACTATCTTTGTTGCTATCAATATATTACTACAATTGTTGTTTGGAAAAAAAAACTATTTTTTTTGCTTTTTTTTCTGTAAAATTTTCTTTTAAAAAAGTTTAATGTTAAAATTTTTGAAAATTTAAGTGTTACTATAAAAATTGCTTAAAATTAATTTATTGTAATAATAATTTCGTTTATCTTTCATTGTACAAAAAAAAAACAAAAAAAATTCTCGAAAATCAATAATAAGAAGAAAAAAATTGGTATGATTTGATTTTTTAATTTCAAAAATTTCAACATTTCATTTCTATTTCGAATTCATAACCAATAGCTATACTGTAATTTGATGAGATATTAGCTTTTGCAAAAATTTCCACCATTTTATTTCTTTCAACTAATATATGGGATAAGACTTTTAAAATTTAAAATTTTAAAATTTTACCACACTATGATCTATGATAATCTCATCGAATTAAACTATATTATTTTTCCTTTTCTTCTTTTTTTTTTCATTTACTTATATATAATTCCAGAATAGCGATCGTTTTTTCTTTTTTTTTCTAAATATTTTAGTTATTTTCACAAAAATTACTGAAATATCAAATTTCTGCAAGCATAAGTGAAGAAATTTCAAATAATTTTGTTTTTCTTTTTCTTCTCTCATATGCAAATTTTAATAATTTTAAAATATTTTGAGTAAATTACACATCGAATTAGCAAATTGTAAAATATTTGAAATGAAATTTCCTAATTGTTAAGGAAATTGTAAAAATTGAAAAATTTAGAAATTAATAATTTTAATAATAATCCATTTTTTTTCTTTTACCATAAAAAAATAAAATGCGAAAGAAGAAATGAGAATGAAAAATAGTAATGAAACGAATTTTTTCACACTTTTACTCTATAAAAATTGTAATATATTTCTCAAAAAAAAGAAAAGAAAAGAAAAGAGGATAAATCCGTTTTTTCTTTTCCACCATTACCGCCCCCCTAATCGACTTTAATACCGTTTTAGTTTATTTTGGTACCAAAAAAAAATCCTTTTTATACCAAATCCGATTCTTTTCATTCATTTTTTTTTTCATTTTCGCATATTTTTTTTTTCTTTCTCTTTTTCTTTTTCCCCGCTTCCCGTTACATCCCATTAATCTCATTGTATGTTGTTTGTTTAAGATGAACAGAGTTTTAAGAATGTAAAAGAGAAATGATGATTAATATTCATAAGATGTATAAGATATGCGCAAACGAATTTTGACTACCAAAAAAAAAAAAAAAACTTCATCATTCTATTAACTTATTGTTTCCTCCTTTTCTCTCTCTCTCTCTCTCTTGTTTTTTTTAATCTTTTAAATTACATTCAAAATTATGAATGAGAATTTTTTTTGAATTAAAAACAAATTTTTCAATGTTTAAATTTAAATAAGAAAAAAACTTTTTTTCTTTTTATTTCTATTTCTTATGTTTTAATGGAATTAATAAATGTTTTTCGTGTTCCCAACATTAATTTTATTTGAAAACAATGAAATTTAAATATTCCACATAATGTTGTATGTATTGCATTTATAAATTGGCGAAATTG